TCATTTCGACTATGTTCATATTCCTCACCCCCTGTATTAATTTAAACACTTTACTCTTCTGTTGATCATTTATTTTTGTACCCAATTCTCTTTCCCATTTCTCTAAGAATGACGGAATTCCAGCTCCCATGAGTTCAGATAAGAAACCAACTCATTGGTTGACGCTTCTAACCAAACTCCAGTGCCATCTTAATGCATGGGCGCTGCCCAGGGGCCCCAGATACATGAGGGACCCATGATATTCTTGCATTACATCACACTTGCCAACTGTCCCGGATTTGCCGGGGCAGTCATGCTGTTTATTAAGCTGCCCCATTGGCCGTGTCCCAGGCAGAATTCTGGAATCTGGGCCTTGGGGACATCAGAAGCCTGTCACTGGGTTATTATTATTATTATTACATCGAGTTTATATAGCGCCAAAGGATTTGCTCAGCGCTGTACAATAGAGGGGGGGGGGGACAATACATAAAAACAGTACAGCAACTACAAACAGCACATGAGGGGTTAGAGGGCCCTACTCTTTCGAGCTTACAATCTAGGAGGGAGGGGGTAGTGGTACAGGAGGAAGTGGCTGTGGGGGATGGAGTGGTAGGAGGAATGAAGGAGAACGGCTGTTAGGTGAGGGTGGGGTAGGCTTCCCTGAAGAGATGGGTTTTCAGGGAGCGCCTGAAGGTGAGGAGGGTAGGTGACAGTCTGATGGATTGGGGTAGTGAGTTCCAGAGGATGGGGGAGGACCTGGAGAAGTCTTGCAGTCGTGCGTGGGAGGAGGAGACCAGGGAGCAAGATAAAAGGAGGTCTTGTGAGGAGCGAAGGGTACGGGTAGGGTGGTACCTGGGAATCAGGTTGGTGAGGTAGTTAGGGGCAGTGTTGTGAACGGCTTTGTAGGTCAGAGTTAGTAGTTTGAATTTGATGCGTTGGGCAACCGGGAGCCAGTGGAGGGAGAGGCAGAGGGGGGTGGCAGAGGGGGAGCGGTTGGTGAGGTGGATGAGTCTAGCCGCTGAGTTTAGGATGGTCTGGAGCGGGGAGAGCCTGCACTGGGGTAGGCTGGTGAGGAGGGAGTTGCAGTAGTCGAGGCGTGAGATAATCAGGGAGTGTACGAGTAGTTTAGTGGTGTCTGGGGTAAGGAAGGTGCGTATCTTGGGTTAAATCTACTATTAGAATGACATCCCCCCCGTACTGTGCTCTCTTGTCCCCACTGGACTGTGCCCCCCCCGGACTCCCCCACCCCCCCCATACTGTGCCCTTTGTGTTGATTAGTCTTTGATTTAACCTATAATTTCTTCTAATCCAGACACCAGGTACAAGTTACAGGGTCACACTGTCCTTTACATCCCCATCGAGGCCATGAATGTGGATGCTGAAACCGCCATCAAGGACAAACAGCTGGTGCAGAGGCTGGAGAGTGAGTATATCTGATATTTATATTGAAAAGGAAGAAATAGTAAGTTTGCATATATTTTTATTATTCAAATATAACATTTGAAAAGATTTTTTTTCTTTTTCAGGTATGTAATATGTCATGTTAATATTATGCATTCTCATTTTCAGTCAGCAGGTGGGGTTTTAGCCCTATTTCACACTTTAACTAAAGCTGGTTCACTTCGAATCTGGTGCAGCTTTGCATGGTAGCCAATCAGCTTCTAACCTCAGCTTGTTCAATTAAGCTTTAGCAGTAAAACCTGGAAAACTGATTGGTTTCCATGCAGAAGTGCACGTGATTCTGAGTGAAGCAGCTTAATGCAGGCCATAGATGGGTCGAAAATCGGCCGATTTTTTTTACGGCTGAAAAAAAAATCAGCCGATTTTCGGATCGTTAGTGGGCTAAATGTTAGGTTTTTTATTTTGGCAGATTTTTTTTATTGGTAAAGTTGGAAAAAAAATCGGCCGATTTTGCCGATCGGCCGATTTTCGCGGCAATGATGGGCAAATCGGCCGATCTTTTACCGATAAAAAAATCTGCGCATGAGCAGTGACCTGCAAGAGGAAGACAAAAAGAAGAAGAAAAAAGAAGAGGATGAAGAAGAAGAAGAAGAGGATGAAGAAGAAGAAGAAGAGGATGAAGAAGAAGAGGAAGATGAAGAAGATGAAGAAGAGGACGAAGAAGAGGATGAGGAAGAGGATGAAGAAGAGGATGAAGAAGAAGAGGAAGAAGGAGAAGGGGAAGAGAAGAAGAGGATGAAGAAGAAGAAGAGGATGGAGACGAAGAGGATGAAGAAGAAGAAGACGAAGAGGACGAAGAAGAGAGAGGAAGAAGAGGAAGAAGAAGAAGAGAGGATGAAGAAGAAGAAAGAAGAAGAGGATGAAGAAGAAGAAGAGGATGAAGAAGAGGATGAAGAAGAAGAGGATGAAGAAGAAAAAAGAGGATGAAGAAGAAGAGGATGAAGAAGAAGAGGAAGATGAAGAAGAGGATGAAGAAGCTGAAGAAAAGGATAAAGAAGAGGAAGAAGAAGAAGAGTAAGAAGAAGAAGAGGATGCAGAAAAGGATGAAGAAGAAGAGGAAGCAGAAGAAGAAGAGGATGAAGAAGAAGAAGAGGATGAAGAAGAGGAAGATGAAGAAGAGGAAGATGAAGAAGAGAGGAAGAAGAAGAAGAGGATGAAGAAGAAGAAGAGGATGAAGAAGAAGAAGAGGATGAAGAAGAAGAGGATGACGAAGAAGAGGAATTCCAGTCCAGCAAAAAGTGTCCCTGCAGAGAGCTCCGCTATTTCTTTGACAGTTCCTTGACATTTATAGCGGTTGCAACAATTGTATCTATTTGTTTCCGAATAAAAAACATCTGTATCCTAAATGGATACAAATAGATACAATGTTGCAACCGCTATAAATGTCAAAGAACTGTCAAAGAAATAGCGGAGCTCTCTGCAGGGACACTTTTTGCCGGCTGTAGATGGGATGAAAATCGGCCGATTTTTTTTTTACCATTGCTGGTAACGTCAGCCGCTTGAACGACCGATTTTTCGTTTTTTTAAAGAAAAATCGGCCGATTTTCGACCCATCTATGGCCTGCATTAGTAAATAAAATTCACAATGTCGCATGACAAGTCAAAACACATTCCTTTCAATGGGTGCAGTCTTAATCAATGCGACTCAAGTCGCAGTGACAAAAAAAGGTTCCTTCACTACTTTTCTGCAACTTTGGTGCGACTTGAGTGCCATAGACTGTGATGTTAAAGCACAAAAGTCATAAGGAATTTACAAGCAATCGGCAGCAAGTCATGCGACTTTGGGATTGCAGCTGTGTAAATCGAGCCTTGGACAGCCTATCATATTTTCTAGTTTTTCCTTACCTCCTGATGAAACAAAGACTGCACTCATAGAGCCTAAAGCAGAAATGAACTCCTACACCCTGGAAGCAAAAATGCAAGATCTTTTTTTCTATTTTTGTCCCCACCTAGGTCAGAATGTGTCACTGGTCCTGCAGCCACTTGAGATACTTGCATCACTTCTCTCAGTAGGCTGCAGGATCGGCATACAGGGCAGGGGGTGGGCCAGAGGGCAGGTCCCAGGTGTCATCAGCTGAAGAGAACCAACATGGCGGTGCAGGACCGCTGTTTGGCACCTGAATAGCAGGTTGCAACAGGACATCGCAGGACTTGCTGTGCTTTTCAGTATGTGTTTTGAAGTGAACCCAGGAATACTGGTTTGAAGGAGTTTGGGTGGAGTACAGCTTTAATCACTCTATTAAAAATGTACCTGCATCAGTCATTCCTCCCCCATTGTTCCCCCTTTCATTCCCTATTGTTCCCCAACCCATCTCTCAGAGGTTTCAGTATAGGAGAGTGAGACTGAAGACAGGCAGCTTATGTTGTGCTCTTTAGATAACCCATGGTGCACTGTGAGTTCTTTATCATAGCGAGGTCTCTCAGATAAGTCAGGTTTTACAGCTTGCAATAGGCTGACATTTCTGCTTTGACGTGGAGAGTATAGAAGTGATTAAAGCGGGGCTCCACCCAAAAGGGGACGTTCTGCTTTAAAGACTGGTCCCCGCTCCCCATTAAAGATTGGCACCTTTTGGGGGTGAGGAGCGGGTACCTGAATTTGCCACTTCTGCTCCGATCGACTAGGCGATTGGAAGCGGAAGGTGTCCTCCCTCCCTCCCCATAGTCTTTTGGGACACATGGCAGGTCCCAGAAGACTACAGGACCATTCATGAAGCGCAGCTCTACTCGCGCATGCGCAGTAGGTACCCGGCTGTGCAGCTGCAAGCTGTCACAGCCGGGTGCCCACAACTGAAGATGCCGGCGCCCAGGGAGAGAAGACGGACGGTTTTATTTTTTTTTTTAAACGGGCTGCGGGGGGGACACACCACGGGACCGAGGGACAGGTAAGTGGCTGTTTTTTTTTAAAGGTCAGCAGCTACAGTTTTTGTAGCTGCTGACTTTTATTTTTTGACTGGGGTGAGTAGAAGTCCACTTTGAGATAAAACACGGGCCATCTTTGTGAGGCTGGACTAATATATTAGCTTAAAGTGGTTGTAAAGGTAGAAGGTTTTTTTTTTTTTACCTTAATGCATTCTATACATTAAGATAAGAGTCCTTCTGTTTGCAGCACCACCCGCCCCCCCCATATACTTACTTGAGCCTCCATCCAGTGCTGTGCCCGAGAGCAGCGGCTCTCTCCCTCCTCACTGCACATGGAGTCAGCAGCAGGAGCCAGTGGTCCCCTGCTGCTGTCAATCAAATCCTGTGACATGCTGGCAGAGGTGCGCAGACACAACGTGGCTCAGGATTGAGTCTGACCTGCAGGTGTGCCACAATAGAAGGCAGTTTTCCTATGGGGGCACACCAAGAAGAGGAGGAGCCAAGAGCGCCAGATTGGGGATCTTATAAGAGGATCAGGGCTGCTCTGTGCAAAAAACCATTGCACAGAGATGGTAAGTTTATTATGTTTGTTATTTCTAAAAAAAAATTTAGGATTTTACAATCACTTAAAAGTGAACGTGTGCTTTGCTCATGCATGGAGAGGTGGATATGATGGGTGGTATTCAAAGTGTTACTAAACCCCGGACCCGGCATTCCCTATATCTGGTCTCCCCTGGCTCTGCATTCACTATATCTGGTCTCCCCCAGACCCGGCATTTCACTATATCTGTCTCCCCAAACCCTGCATTCACTATATCCGCTTCTCCCCGGACCCTGCATTCACTATATCTGGTCTCCCTGGACCCTGCATTCACTATATCTGATCTCCCCGAACCCGGCATTTCACTATATGTGGTCTCCCTGGACCCTGCATTCACTATATCCGCTCTCCCCGGACCCTGCAATTCACTATATCTGGTCTCCCGGACCCTGCATTCACTATATCCACTCTCCCCGGACCCTGCATTCACATATATCTGGTCTCCCCGGACCCCTGCATTCACTATATCTGTTCTCCCGGACCCTGCATTCACTATATCTGGTCTCCCCGGACCCTGCATTCACTATATCTATTCTCCCCGGACCCTGCATTTCACTATATTCTGCTCTCCTGGGACCCTGCATTCACTATATTCGTGGTCTCCCCCGGGACCCTGCATTCACTATATCTGGTCTCCTCCCGGACCCTGCATTCACTATATCTGGTCTCCCCGGACCCTGCATTCACTATATCTGGTCTCCCTGGACTCTGCATTTCACTATATCTGGTCTCCCCAAAACCTGCATTCACTATATCCGCTCTCCCCGACCCTGCATTCACTAATATCTGGTCTCCCCTGGACCCTGCATTCACTATATCTGATATCTCCCGAAACCCGGCATTCACTATATGTTGGTCTCCCTGAGACCCTGCATTCACTATATCCGCTCTCCCCGGACCCTGCATTCCACTATATCTGGTCTCCCCGGACCCTGCATTCACTATAATTAAAAAATCCACTCTCCCCGGACCCTGCATTCCACTATATCTTGGTCTCCCCGGACCCTGCATTCACTATAATCTGTTCTCCCCGGACCCTGCATTCACTATATCTGGTACTCCCCAGGACCCTGCATTCACTATATCTATTCTCTGCCCGGACCCTGCATTCACTATATCTGCTCTCCCTGGACCCTGCATTCACTATAAGTCTGGTCTCCCCGGACCCCTGCATTCACTATAGTCGTGGTCTCCCCGGACCCACTGGCATTCACTATATCTGGTGTCTCCCCGGACCCTGCATTCACTATAATCCTGGTCTCCTGGACTCTGCATTCACTATATCTGGTCTCCCCGGCACTCTGATTTCCACTATATCTGGTCTCCTCCGGCCGGACTCTGAATTCACTATATCTGGTCTCCGCCGGACCCCGGAACCTGCATTCATATATCCTGGTCCCCGAACCCCGGACCCTGCATTCACTATATCTGGTCTCCCCGGACCTTGCATTCACTATATATGCGTAGGTCTCCCGACAGTACACACAACATGGAAATGCAATTATTTTTTAGGTAAATATAAACTGTTTAAATACCTTTTTTCATTCAGCACGTACATAGCAGTATCTTGTGACTTCTATCAGTGTCTGGGCCGGGCACTGGTTAAATTCTTGTATGGAGGAGTTTTCATGCTATGAGGCTTGCATGACCCCTGGTTGTCCTGGACAGTGCTGATTAATCTTGTGCGGAGGAGTTTTCATTCATATGAGGCTGCATGACCTAACCCTCTGTTCTGGACAGTGCGGATGGCCCTTGGGGTATGATTTTGTGCCGATCATCATGCACCCACTCCCATGACGTAAAAATATACACCAGGTTCTAAAGACTGAGGGCACATGCAGCTTTACTTCTTGCAGAATGATTTACTGGCTTCTGTTCTATTGTAAGCAGTTTAGGTGAACCTGGGGACTCTGCCTTGGGAATGGGTCCTAAAAAGAGGGGACCTTGTTTCATTTGAGGGGGAGAGGTTATTCTGATTCTTAAAAGGGGGATCAGGGAAGACCGGAAGGACAAACATCCTTGTACCACGACCGTCAGAGGAGATTAAACCCCTTAGGTTCTTACACCAGTGAGTTTATAACAAGCATGCTTTACTTCATGATGCAGAAATGATTTTTTACTGTTGTGTGGGTTTTTTTTTTTTTAGTAGTAACACTTTTATGGTGAACCTCGTTTGCTCTGGCTGCGGATGGGCCAAGCACTGTGTTCGTTTTTTGAGACTTGAGAGAGGATGCTATTCTTCTGATTCATTACAGATGCCACATTTCTGACTGGCTTTGGGCCCTACTGTATGCGCCTTGTGGGGCCAAGTAGAGGAGGTGCATGTGGCACAAGGGCCCTGGACCTTTGCTGGCAGATTGAGCTTACTGCATTTGGTTCCTAGTATTCTGCTCTTGTATGTGGTCCTAGTCCAACAGGCCTACAACCTTCACCATAGCTTTGTATGTATGGGCAGATGTGTCACTTGGATATGTAATTGGTTGTTTGTGGGGGCGCTGGCTTTCCTGGTAGAAGCTCTTCATGTTACTTTGTTTCCACTCTAATAGCTGCCATGGTGCACTCTGGGACCCGCCAGATCAAAGAGAAGTTCTGACTGGCGCGCCAGGAAGCAGTGGAGATGGGTGAGAGCTCAGGTCCTCTAGAGGAGGAAATTGAATTTTGGAGGAGAAACGATGCACTGCACTGCCTCTGGAATCAGCAAACAGCTGGGATAAGCCCGGGTGTGACATGGGTGAACACAAATTGAGCACATCCTGGAGATGGCAAAGTCATCGGTATGTGGGGCCTTTCAGAAAAAACTGTCCAAACAGATTCCAGGGTGAGAGCACAAAACCACTGACTCTGATTTTCCAGGGTAAAACAGTCTATATTTTGTGCCTCCAAGTCTCCTTCTACATTTAGTTTTTTAAAGCCCTTATTCCATGAGTGATAGTTATATTTAAGCTTCAAAATCTATGTTATGCATCCTTACCGATTCCCATAGTAGGTCTGATGGGTCCAGACAGGACCCCGGGGATATATTATGTGGCATTTACATCACTCATACTTGCTTTATCATTGGCCTGATCACCCTGGGTCCTTCTGAGCACTTTTGGTGCTCCCCTTCTGTCATTTTCGGGTCCACAACTGGGACCGCGATTTTATCTTTGTGGATTGACTAAGTTATTTACTCGCCATATATATGCATGATCTCACTCAAGTCTTTGAGGAAGGGAAGAGGTTTTTTTTTAAAATATTGTCAGGCTTCTGCAAGCAATCCAACAGATGTATTTGTGGATATGAGACATGGGCTTGGTGATTGTAAAAAAAACAAACCTTTAGAATCGCTTTAAAATTGTTTCTTCCACCCAATAGATCCTACCTGTTGGCAATATATTCGTTTTTAAGGTTTACTTCGACCTTAAAGCCTAAGTTAAAAATAATGTTTTTTTTTTTTTTTTTTTAAACAAATCCATCTTTTCTTTCTGTACTTTTGTTTAAAATCTAATTTTTTACGTTTTTTAAGAACATTTTTTAGAGATGATCATTTTCTCTTCATAATTTTTAACTGTATATACGGTAATAATATAAAAAAAAAGCACACAAACGGGCTTGTTTTTCCAAATCATAAACATAGAAACATCAGCTCAAGAATGAAAAAATATGGCATTTTAAAAAATCTATTTCTTGGTTTTTTACATCTTACGGTATTTTTTTTTTTACGGAGAGGTCTAGGCAGGTGTCGTGGCAACTTCAGATATTTTTTGACACAGAGAGAAGCGAATCAATTAATGACTGTCTATATATAAGGTTAATCTGTTTTCTACACTTTTAATAAAAATTGTTAAATAAAAATTCTGAAATAATAATGAAAAAAAAAAAGAATTCCGTGATCCCATTATATATTTTTGGGGGTAAAAAAACATATACTTTTTAAACTAGATGTTTTACTTTTTTTTAATTAAATTATAAACACAAGGGACATTGCTTACTATCAGTATGATGTGTCCCTTGTGCTGGTGTTACCTGGTTTAGCAGAAATTCCCCCTCCTTTGATGTGCCCACCCAGCCCTGCTGAGTAATCTTTCTGGTGCAGCATGGTTAAAAAGAAAGAACTGAGGGAGCTGTGACAGGCAATCCATCAAGAGTGCCCAATAATGGCCCTCTTCTCTCCGCCCAGCTTCCTCCATTCATAGAAGCCATTATTATGGCTTCTATGAATGAAAATTGTATTAATGGAAGTTGGACAGATTGAATGGTCCACCTCCTCCATTCATAGATCATGTTTCATTGATAGAAGCTGTAGTATGGGTTTCTATGAAAGGAGGAGCTGGGCGGACTATCACAGCTCCCTGAGTTCTATTAACCCCCGCTACATTGGAAAATTACAGCGGCAGGGAGTGGGGGATGACATCAGAAGAATTTCTACTAAACCAGATGACTGCAGCTAGCAAGAGACAAATCACACTGATGGTAAAGGTAACACTTTTTTTTTTAAAATGCAAAGCACAGTATAATACATGAGGATTTGACTTAGGTATCAGCCTCTTGTAGTTTATTGTACAGCAGAGCTTTAGACTGTGAGAGGGAGAAACAGCATATGCGCATATCGTCCAGTCCAGTTGCTAACAAGAGACATGCTAATGAAGGAGAGAGCAGAAGATATAGAGATGACATAGAGATGAGCTCATTGGTCTGCTATTTCTCCTTTTCACCGTCTAATCACACAAGGGGGAGGGGGACAAGGACATGGAAAAGTGTATAGTAAGTGAAGCGGACGCGGAGAAAAAATCAGGTCTTCAGCCCTGCCTGACCGAGAGCTGTGTTGTGTCTGTAAGCTATATGGCCAGAGAGAGAGCTCTGTAAGCTGTAAAACTATGGCCACAGAGGACAGTAAAGATGACAGAAGGTCCTAAATCCCTTTTGCTCATATCCAAAATGAAAGAAGAAAAATGATTGAAGATACACCTTGATTTTTATCATTTATATAAAAGGCTTATTTACAGTACGTAAATACTGTATTAACTGATATATAAGAAGGGGCAGGGGCTTAGCTAAAGGAATGGGAGCCTAACCTGCAATTAGTTAGTAGTTGTGGCGCAATGTACCCCCAGGGTTTAGGATGCATGGGGTTTCGTCGGCGGGATTCGATTTGAGGACTAAGGTGTCCTTGTTATCATCTGCAGCAGTAAATAAGGGGTGACCGCTGCTTCAGTTCTCCGGCATTTCTCAGAGTGAAGAGAGTTTTCCTCTGAATGCCTTTTTATGAAGGCGGTGTAGAATCGCTTGTCTTACGCTTTGTGAAACTGCAGGAAACCTCTGCGTGTTACTATATAAATCTCGCGAGGAATTGTGAATTTTCCTCTCGACCGACTCTCTCACCGGTCGTGGGCTGGAGAATCTGGAGGGGAGAAACAGAGAGACTTCTCATCGCCAGTGCAGAGAGCTGGACACTTGTCTATACTCCTGTCATATACCTGAGATTACATAGAGTTAGTCTAGGCTGACAAAAAGAGCTCA